CCTCTTTTTGTCCAGTCAACAAGGATCAGCAAGCAGCTACAGTTTCCCCTCTTCTAATTCCAGTCCCCACTGACCCACCCTGATAAAAAATCCTCCACCCCAATCTGCTTTGGTGCCTTCAAGAATGAGCATCCACAGAAGAGGTACTAGTGCCTAACTAGTTTAGCAGCAATAAAATGGTCAAGCAACTTCGATCAACTTAGACCCTTTTTTTAAGGCAAAACAAATGCTTGAAGACAGTGAAGCAAAAGGGCGAGCCAGTAGCTATTTTACATAGAAGACACAAGGAATTTCAAGAAGAGCATATGTTCATGATCTTCTTAACAAAAGAACATCTATTAGTTTACACCTACAATTAGCTGAAACCAAAGACGTATAATCCATGCCAAGTTTTGAAGCTTTTGATGTATGAACTAATGTAATAATTCAGTATATAAAATTTTAATATTTAAATCAGCAAAAGGTAATTTGATAACCTGAAACTCCATTTGAATTGGTGGCCTTGTCCAGGATTTCTTTTCAGTCATTGTCGAAATCAACTCAACTTCTGCACTCAGTGTAGGCTCAGTTTGTCCAGGAAACTTTCTTATTCTTAAAAAGTCACAAGAACGTTCAATTGAGCAACAATTGCTGAATCAGTTCCAGGTCAAGAAATCAAAAGCAATAGAATACAAATAAAGTCAAGTTATTGCCCATACTAAAAACAGGAATGCATCAAAGAAGTCCAGACTTAGGTAAAATAGTTCTTCCTTTTGGACAAGAAGAGTGCAGGCAGGTGCACAATGTATGATGGCAGACAGTATGAAGCAATTATATCAGGCACACATAATGCAAACTATAGTTGATTAACAAATCGTCCCCATCTCAGCTACATGCGAGAAACAAGACTTGCTTTTAAGAGTAAACCGTTGAGAGTAAATAATTAACAAAAGTTTATTGCTGGAGTCTAAAAGTTCAGCTTTTTCTTTCTAGTGGAAAAGTCAAAATAAGTGTTGTCAGCAAAGGCTTGCATTAGCATTAGAAATTGCAGTTGAAATTGTAGTATTTTCCTAAAGTAATCTTCCTATGTAATGTATGCCATTTGGAAAACAAAATATGAAAGAAGAGTTAATTCGGGGTATTGTTAAGTTGCTTCAGACAATATCCTGTCCACAATGAATGTGAGATTCAAAGAAAGAGCTAATGCAATAACAAAAAAATTAAATCCAATTTTATGATTCACAGTGATCTTGAGCTTTTCTCACATTCTTATCTTAAATGCAAAGAGGCACGGCAATTAGTTTCTTGATTTGACATTAAAATGATATCTTGTAACAGCACTACTAACACTTTGTATAGAAGCGCACGAGACGTTGAAGATTAAAATACTTACTTCCAAACCAAGCAATCAATAGCTGCATTATACTTTGCTCGACCTGATGTCACTTGGAAACTTGTTTTTGCTGTTTGTTTTGGCACGGGAATTTTAATAACAACCCCAAGTGCGAACATTTTAGCACCAAATACGCTTTTCACCTGAAAATAACATTGATAGTTTTTTTTTTTAAATAAAAAACGTTAATAAGTTAATAGAAGGATGTCAAAAACTCAAATATGTCAAATGGCAAAATTTCATATTACATACTTTAACATTTACTTCCATTCGTGTACGGCCAAGCTCCTTAATTGATGGCAAGACTCGGAATGGAAGATTAACACCTTCAGTGATACGATACCTGAGGTGTTAAATAAGTAAAAAAAAAAGGGATAAAGTTATGACTGGTGGTAAATATAAAAATATATGGGATACAATAATAACTCCGAACACTTCTAAAGCATCAGTACTGATTCACCTCACTGAAGCACCTACAAGAAAGTCATTGCTAAGAATATGGAATCAAATGAAAAAAGGGGGAAGTAAAGCATAGATATTATTAAAACAATCAAGAATTGATTAGGGCAGTTTGGAAACAAATTAACTTATGGGTTCAGAATGGAATTTCTAAGAGACATTTTCCAGAATGGGGGAAACTATTCTTATATGT